TGCCGAGGCGAGGGGCCACCAGGGGAGTGCTGAGGCCATCGCCCGCCGCCTGCTCCCTGCCAGCGTGGCCCAGACGGGGCACACGTCGGGGGCACCGTCCTCGCCCCGGTGGCCAGCCAGACCCTGGCGCCAGCCCTGCAGAGCGCTGCTGGGCACCACGGACGTACCCGCTGCTTTGCTCTCTCACAAGGCAACCCGCAAAGACACTGTGGTACGACCGGCCGCGATATGTCTACCTGGAGTTCTGTGTGGAGGACAGCACGGATGTCAAGGTGGTCATTGAGGAGCAGCGGCTGGTGTTCAGGGGAGCCGCCGCTGTCCTGCGACCGGGGACGCGGCCTCGTACTGAGGGTAGTTTGGAGGGCAGGAGGGACTCTGTAACAGCAGGGCACACGTGGCCTCAGCCCTCTCCTGAGCCAGGCTGTTACGGTGTTTTGGCAGCTGCAAAAATGCAGACGGCGTGGAGTTCTACAACGAGATCAACCTGTATGCCAGAGTCAACTCCAAGGTGAGGCTTTCCCCCAGCAAACTGTTCTCTGACAGCCTCCATCAGGCCCAGAGTTAAACCCAACCTGTGCAGTCTTCAGCAACACCGCATAGCATTGAGTCCTCCCGTTTCACCAGAGCCTGAGTGGGGTGAGCACAAGCCTGGGAGCCCTGACCCTGGGCCTGGCACTCACAGTGCTGCCTTGAGCCAGAAACAGCTCCTCTCCATGGTTCCGTGTGTCCCACAGCCTCTATGTGCCTGAGCTTTAATTCTGTGTGTGTCTACAGTGGATTACAGAGGAGTCCAGCAGACACCAAGGTGAGGCACCCCCCAATCTCTTGGCAGGACTCACGGGAGAAGCGCTCTGACCGCTCTATCACGTGCTTTATGAGGAAGTGGAAGGAGAAAGTGGCCTGGCCCCGCATCACCAAGGAGAACATCAAGGTGTGTGTGGTGCCCACCAGCCAGGACCAGCCTCAGCGTGTGTGCTGTCCCTATGCCACCCCTCGCGGCTCCTGGAGACCAACCTGCCCCCAGGACAGACACTGAGGGCTCCACACGGACACCCCAACACAGAGCTCCCAAAGAGCTTGACCTCACAGTCACTGGCAGTCCACAGAGCTCTGCCCTCCAGGAAGGATGGGGCACCCCTTTCCCTGGACACAGGCAGGGTCAGGACCGGCACCTGCAGGCCAAGGGACGCCCTCCCCTTCCTGCCCTTCCCCAGCCCGCCTGGTCCCCTCACCCGTGCAGGAGCAGCCTGCGCCCACCCCACAGAGCAGTCCCTGGGCTGCGAGGATGGGGCTGCCCTGTCCCTTCCGTGCTGCTCCCTCCCTCAGGGGATGCTCTCTCTGCCCACAGCCGGCTTGGCTCTCTGTGGACTTTGACAACTGGCGAGACTGGGAAGGGGATGAGGAGGTGGAGAGGGCCATGGTGGAGCAGTACGCAGAGGTGAGCTGGACCGCAGGCCTCGAGGTCCTGGGGTGTGTGTGGGGTGGGTGCTCGGGATGGGGGGGAGTTGGGCATTCAGCGCTCCCACAGCTGCTTGTTTCCCATCCAGCTCCTGGAAAAGGTGACGGAGAAAGACCCCCCC